ATGACTTTGACAATGTAACATTAGTCTTATGGTAGATCCACCACTGCAGCCATGACTTTGACAATGTAACATTAGTCTTATGGTAGATCCACCACTGCAGCTTTGACTTTGACAATGTAACATTAGTCTTATGGTAGATCTACCACTGCAGCTATGACTTTGACAATGTACCATTTGTTCTTATGGTAGATCCACCACTGCAGCTATGACTTTGACAATGTAACATTAGTCTTATGGTAGATCCACAACTGCAGCCATGACTTTGACAATGTAACATTAGTCTTATGGTAGATCCACCACTGCAGCCATGACTTTGACAATGTAACATTAGTCTTATGGTAGATCCACCACTGCAGCTATGACTTTGACAATGTAACATTAGTCTTATGGTAGATCCACCACTGCAGCCATGACTTTGACAATGTATCATTTGGTCTTATGGTAGATCCACAACTGCAACTATGACTTTGACAATGTATCATTTGGTCTTATGGTAGATCCACAACTGAAGTTAACATTTTAAGAGTATGTTTTTTTTTAATTTTAAATATAAATCTTCACCATAGTTCCAATCTGTAACAGATCTGGGATTGTGGGCTTGTAGCCTTGTGGCCTTGGAGATAAAGATATTACAATGTATCCCTGCCCCCTTAACACAGTTTTCCTTGCCTTTGAATTGTAAAAAATAATTGTTAAAATACATAGTTTACCATTTTATATTAAATAATCTATATACCAATATTCGGGTCTGTAATTTTTTTTTTTTTTAGGAAAAAGGTGGTCGGTTGGTCGGGGGTGGGTTAAAATACATAGTTTACCATTTTATATTAAATAATCTATATACCAATATTCGGGTCTGTAATTTTTTTTTTTTTAGGAAAAAGGTGGTCGGTTGGTCGGGGGGGGGTGGGTGGGGGGGAGGGTTGAACTATTGCTAATGATGGAAATGACGTCACCGAGTACATAAAAACTATTCAACATGAAGCCTCCAACCCAATGTCATCGTACTTGAAGTGTAAAACTATATTCATAACATAGATCATCAGTTTTATTTTAAATTATCCAACTTTCATTTTATTTTTTAAGGCATGGAATTACTTATGTTCGTGTGCCCTCTAAGTATCAACGCCTCCAACTCTAATGGCCAACTTGGTGTAAAACATGTCATGATTTAAACGAAAATCTAAAACCCACATTTCATGACTGAAATTTCATTGGATTTAGGCAAATTTTCATCCACACGAAAGTACACAAAGTATCCACGACCTATGAAATGTGTTTACCGAAGAAGGTTAATTATTTATCAAATTCACTCTTTCATCCTTAGGCGTATTTTATGCTGCCGGGGGCAAAATTAAAATATCTACCCCCCCCCCTGCTCCGCAATTTTAATAAACTTTAATTAAATCTTCAACCATACATTTTTTGCACACTGCTGAACTTTATTTAAATTCTTAAATTCCAGATCCTTTTTTTTTTTTACCACGAATCGGAATTATGTCTTATAAAATTAGTGCTATGCATAATACCGTATATTTAAAGATTGTGATTATTGATTTTAACCTTTGCACTATTTGACCTATAAACGGTATATTCGTATTAAAATTATTTTTAAATGTTAAGTTTTTGTTACTTTATAAATATGATAAAAGCACATTTTTGGAAAAAAAACAACAAATAAAACTTGTTCAATGTTTAAAAATAGAGTTATAATTTGGTCTGGTTTATTAAAACATTAAAAAGCAATCAATTACATTTATGAAATTAATTTTTTTAAAGGGGAAAAGATATTATCAGTTTTACAACACGCTGTTATTAATTCAGGGATATATACGCTTTTGATTAGCGAGTTTAAATTTAACTCTTATAAAATTAATCTATTTTTTCTTTATTTGTTTTCAATGGAGATTTTTAATTGGATATCTTTTTAATGCATTTAAATAAAATTTAAAAAAAAATTAATAATTTCGCACTATTAACAACGCAATAAAAAACAACAGATGTTTGGGTTTACCCCGATGAATATGATTATAAATTACACATAGTAATACCAGTACGATAAGTTATTATAATAAAAATAATATCTTAGCTTTCAAATTCGTATAAAATACTTAAAATAGTTATTTAATTGTTATTTTAAATGTATTTTTAATTTATAAAAATAATACATGAATATATACTTAAATATAAGCAGATGTACTTTATTTTTATCATATTTAAATAGATTCCATTGCCATAAAACAGGCCTGCACAACTCAAAGTGTAAGTCGGGCCGTAATGCTTTATGAAAAACATATGCGGGCCATAATGCTTAATGAAAATCTTCTGCGGGCCAAAAGATAAAAGGACGGGCCAAAAGCTATTAAGAAATTAATAATAATAAATAATAAAGAATATTTCGTTACTTGGCGGGCCGCCGGTCGGTGCTGTGGGCCGCATGCGGCCGTATGTTGTGCAGGCCTGCCATAAAATATTAGAAAATCCCTATCATTGTTTTTAAGAATCTGAACGTATTTAAATTGATTCGTTCTTTTTGGCGTTATATGGTCAGCCTAGCACCTTCTTCTATATAATATGAGTTTCTATCAATCAAAAATACTATTTGTATTTCTTTAGGATTCTCTAATCGACTAGCATGGAATTTGGAATATTCCTTCTTTGTTTGATCACTGAAGTCATCAGCAGTGAAGAAATCAACAAAAGTTCACGGGAAACCAATCCGCCTGAAATAATAACAGCCCTCAACAAAGAGAGGACAGAGAGAACTCAGCGATTTTCATTGAATACATTATCAGGAGAAGATCAGCCAGCAACAAAGGTCATTTCGCCCTTGGCATATCGCCCATTACCTAGAGCCAGAACCTCTCAAGATCGCCATGGACCTACAAACAAACAATCGTCAGACATTGGCGAAAACAAAGCAAACAGCAACATTCATAAGCCAGTTGTTCCAGGGGGAACCGATTTTGTGCAACCACGCAAGCAAAGTCGGTATTGGAGTAGTAGCAATTCCAAGCCAATACAGAGCAAACAAACTGAGACAGAGGAGTTGAACATGAGCGGCCAACGAACACATAGTGCCAACAACAATCTCAACGTGTGCTCCAATAATAGAATCAATGAGCCAGGTATGTCCGATATGAACCATGCGTCTGTACACTCGTTTCCCACATTAAATGGATTAAGCACGGACCAAAACGATTTTGTCGATAGTTTTATTTGCGGGATTTGCGTTTGTTTTTGCAAAAATGAGAAATTTCTGAATGCGGATTGCGCCTACAGGAAAACACGAGACATCCCACGTGATCTTCCTCAACAAATCTGGTCGCTGGACATGTCAGGAAACAATATCACAAACCTCAGTTTTTCAAATCTACAATACTATCCTTCGCTAAACCACTTTAAGGTATCATGTGACAGACAATTGGAGCGGATCACTAGCTCCTCTTTAGCTTCTAGTAGCAGAATGTTCAATCTTCAAATATTAGATTTAAGTGAAAATAAAATTGACCATTCAGACGACGCCAGTTTTGAAGTGTTTCCCTCTCTTAGAAATTTAACGCTGCGTGGAAATGTCTTAAAACAAATTACCAACATGACCTTTTTTGGACTTCGGAATCTGATTTATTTGGACCTTTCATCAAATTTCATATCGGACATAGACGTCGATGCGTTTCGGTATTTCATCAATTTAAAACAGTTGGACCTCAGCTGCAATCCTCTCTTGGGATACAGTACAGAAAAGCTGTCTCTGAAATTGTTTAGTTCGCTGAAGAATTTAACAGGCCTTTTTATACACGGTGTTTCAGGAAGACGAGACTCGGTGTATCCCAATAAAACGTTCATTCAGATGCCACACTTACAGAGATTAAGCGTCGATGGACTGAACACTGAGTTTGGCCCGGAACTGCTTAAACTACAAAACTTACAGCATCTCGAGATGGGAAGTAGCAAAGTTTGCCACCTAAAAAATATAACCGGAAGCTTCTTTGAGAATGTTCCTTTTCTGAGAAGTTTTTATCTCGTTGAATGTCACTCCTTGATTTATATAAACCCGGCAGCGTTCTCTAAAGTGCATCTACAAACTCTGACATTCCAGTCTTTGCCTAGTTTTGATTTATTTACAGCTCTTAGAGTGTTGATCGGCCTGCAGAACTCATCATTGACAGAATTAAGACTAATTCATCTGTACAACAATACATTTTATTGCAAGGCTTTGAGAGACGAAGACGCCAAATATTTTTCATATCTAACCTTAGAAGTTCTCGACCTGACTGATAATCTGCTTATCTACATTTCCAAGACTGTCATCGACAACTTACCCAATTCACTCCGGATACTCGTACTCAGAAACAACAGACTAACAAGCGACCGTAATCCACTGACCAAGTTTTCTGGGCTCCATAATCTGATACAGCTCGATATCTCCTACCAAAATATGGTCACCACGGAACAAAAGAAGAGCGATCACTGTCCAAAGGTAACTGACATTTCAAGCCGACACGAGGCGGATTGCCGAAAAGTTGATCGTATGGCGTTGCATACTAGTGGCACAACAACAAACCCCAAAGCCTATCAATCGTTTGGGGATATGCAAATCTTGTCAGATGACGAGACTGACATCGATGTATCAGATCAGGGTAACTGTGAATCTATTGTGCCACAGGAAATGGAAAAAGCCACAAACCACAACGAATTTCCGCCAAAATTGAAAACAATTGAAGCAAGTTTGTTTAATGGCTTTGGTGAAAGCATATTCTTGGCCAATCAAAAAATGAGCTGTCTGACTTACATGGATATTTACAACTCATTTTTCTCTACTGTCAATACTGGATCCCACCCATTACCAAAAAGTATTAAAACAGCTCTAATGGGCTCGAACTACATAAAACAGATCCATAAAGGATTTTTTCCTAGAAATAACTCACTAATGTTTCTTGACATCCATGACAATATTCTGGGACCTTCGTTTGCAAAAGACCTCAATGGAACAATTTTTGAAAGACTAGAAAAGACCCATCATTTGGACGTCAGAACTAACTTTATATATGATTTACCAAAACATTTCTTTCGAGGTCTTATAAAACTTAAATGGTTGAGATTGTCTAACAACAGTTTAAGAGTGCTAAACACAAGTTTTTCAAACATGAATATTAGATATATTGATCTCAGCGATAATTCGATCGCTTGGATTTCCAAACATTCACGCGATGACTTGGATAGAATCGCTCTCCTCCATCCTTTGTATATCGATCTGACCAATAATCCACTGCCGTGCACGTGCAACATGCTGGATGTCCTTCACTGGATGGAGGGAACAAACGTTGACTTCCTCAATAAAGACATTTTGATGTGTCGTTTTGATGACGGGTCTGAGGACCACATCGGAGATATAAAAGTGAGACTTCGAACTCTCCAGAGATTGTGTGCAACGAAATCCATTACTTTCGTAATATGTGTGGCTTCCATGATAGTAATTGGTGTCCTGGTTGGATTCGCGTTGTTGTATCGCTTCCGTTGGAGACTTAGGTATATTCGATACATCGTTATGGCACGGTTTGCTGGGTTTAAACCCAAAGCGACATTGGATAATGGGTTTAAATTTGATGCCTACCTACTCTACACAGAGGAGACCCGGAAATTCGTCCTCCGTGACTGTGTGAGAGAACTGGAAGAGAAAAGGGGACATAACTTGTGCTTTGAAGATCGTAACTTTATGCCAGGGTCGCCTATCGTGTCCGGTATCGTGAGCGCAGTCAACAACAGCCACAAGACAGTTCCCGTGGTCACACCGGAGTTTTACGAAGGGGACTTCTCCGAGTATGGGGTCAAGATGGCCGTCATGGAAGAGATCTTCAAGAAACGTTTAGTCCTGCATCTTTGTATTTACCAGCCGACGCCCAGTGAGACTATGTCATGTGACTTTCTTGTAGCCATGAAGAGAAATGACTTCACAGAGTTTCCACACGACCAAGAAGCTTCTGAAGAAATAATTCAAAACTTCTGGGATCAGCTTTCACTAGCAATCGGCCATACTGGCAGTATGGATTATAGCCACATGCATTTAGAATAATAGAATAATTAACACATATGTAATAAACATTTTTACATAATAATTTTTAACACTTTATTTAATTTTTTTTAAAAATGTTCAAATAACTCATGTATCACAGAGTTAATGCCTTTATTTTAAAACTAATTATTTTGAAAATAATGCGTGCAATCTTTTTTGTAATTAAAAGTTTTAAAATATTTTAATGATTATTTATAAGGGACGTTAGAAGTGGACATAAGTAACAACTGTTTAAAAAATAACTTTTAAAAAAACAACAATTCTTTCTATAATTTTGATAACGTTAGAACGCTTCCCTTAAACATATCTCCCGTACTTGATTATAAGTGGAGATGGTGGGTGTCCAACATTGTATAATATTCCAGAGCAAATGTTTTTGATTTTCTTTTTTTAAAGAGATTTTTGTTAGAGGCTATGGCAGAATTCGATAGAATTTAATGAATGTATTGACGTCATTTGTCCACGCTATGTCGGTGTTTCAATGATTGGTTTGTTTCATTTGATTGTCGTGGATTAAATTGAAAACAATAGACTGACCCAAATGAGTTGTGTAAAACAATTTATTTATCATCACAACCACAATCGATAACACAATCACAGTCAACACGCAACAACAATCAACATCACAATCACAATCAATGTTGCAATCATAGTCAATATCACGATCAATATCACAATCACAATCGATAACACAATCACAGTAAACACGCAATAACAATCAACATCACAATCACAATCAATGTTGCAATCATAGTCAATATCACAATCAATATCACAACCACAATCGATAACACAATCACAGTAAACACGCAACAACAATCAACATCACAATCACAATCAATGTTGCAATCATAGTCAATATCACAATCAATATCACAACCACAATCGATAACACAATCACAGTAAACACGCAATAACAATCAACATCACAATCACAATCAATGTCGAATTCATAGTCAATATCACAATCACACTCAATATCATAATCAATATCACAATCACAATCAATATCACATCGCAATCAATATCACAATCACTGTCAAAATAAATAAAAATGTCATTGGTTTTATGACATATATAATATTTAACATTTAAAAAAATTCTTAAACACATATTTAAATTACGTAAACAATTTATACAAGGTGCTGAACAAAAAGAATGTTTTTTTTATTATGGCTATTCTTATGATAATGTCAAATTATCTAAATCACTCTATTCAACAGTTGATCAATATTTTGATTCAGATTTAGGGGTGTAAAATGGACAAAGGTGTAGCGATATTTGTGGAAATGTTCTAAAGTTATTAGAGATCCCAAGTTTTAGTATGTCTTATGAATAGCAATCAAATAGCACAAGGATAAACATCTTTACAATCAAACAGTACAAGGATAAACATCCTTACAATCAAACAGTACAAAGATAAACACATCTTTATCGCATGATGATAATGCTGGCAGGATAGTATTTCATCGATAGTAAGACACGGACATCTCTTCATTGATATTTCCCCAAATATCGTATGGGGAGCACCTTATGGCTAGTGCCTCAATGATAGTACATCAATGGTAGTACCTCACTGATAGAACCTCATTGATAGTACCTCATTGATAGTACCTCATTCTTAACACCTCATCATACGCCTTCTCCCAATCTTCTCTCATTGATAATAACTCATTGATAGTACCTCATTGTAAATACCCCACTGTACAAGAGGACACTGGATGCGTCTTTAAAATCCTGTGGTATCTTCTCTTGCTGTCACATAAGTAGGAACAGCCGGTGGAGTCTTTCAGACAGAGCTGTTCCCCCTCCCTTGTAGATTTCAACTGGGATTGTGTCATCCCCTGGAGCCCTTGCAACTCGCGAGAAGGCATGTTGCGTCTCGTTTAAGGTTGTAGGGGAGATCTTCAATATCTTGACTGACTTGTTTGTACACGAGGGAGTCAATGACGGATGGAGAGCGATTTAGGATACTCTCAAAGTGCACTGCCCGGCGTTGGAGATTTTTGTCTTCTCAGTAATCAAAGTTTTCTCTTCAGCACGCAATAC